AGAATTAATAAATTTGAAATAAATTTGATATGATTTCTGTTAATGTATTCCATTGAATTATTTACTCATCGAATTAAATTATGCCGAATTTGAAGTCGAGAGATAAGTTCTCAGATTTTTATCTTAATTTGATTTTCACACACACACACACACACACACACACACACACACACACACACACACACACACACATACATGTCTTGAAAAATAAAAACTGTTAAAATGAAAAAATTAAAATTTCAGGCAAACTGTTGTATATGAATATTTTTGTTTAGTTTTTAACTAGATTCCTTAACGAGTTCCGGCCAGCATGGCCATCATCAGGAGAAAAAAATTCATTCTTGTTGCAGTGAAGAATTTGTAAAAATTCTTTAGTAGAACTTATACTGTATTTAGTAGGTAAGTTTTCTTTTTCCCTTTGGCACGTTAGCAATCATGGCTCTCCACAATTTCCTGTCGTTTTTAATGCTTAACACATGTTTATCTTTTTGTTATTTCTCCTAAACCTACTTCCGCCATCCATTTACTCAACTCGATCTTCTTTAAGCGCATTCTTCTCATCGTCTTCATTATGTTGTCAGTCATGACTCTCCACAATTTCCTGTCTTTTTGAGCCCTTAATAATTTTTTGACTTTTTCTTATCTCTCCTAAACCTTGTTCCTTCATCCATTTACCCAAGCTTATTTTTCTTCTCTGTGCCGTGTTCATTCAGGACGTTGACGATCATGGCTCTCCACAATTTCCTGTCATTGTAGCGCTTAATAAATTTTGTCTTTTTGTTATTTCTCCTAAACATCGTTCCGACATCCATTTGCTCAACCTCATTCTTCTTGTTATTGTACGAACCGTGGCCCTTCAGGACGTTGGAAATCATGGCTCTCCACAATTTCCTCTCCTTCATAGCTCTTAGTAAATTTTGGTTTTTATTATTTCTCCTAAAACGTGTTTTGCTATCCTTTTACTCAAGCTCGCTATGTTATGCGTTGTTTTCCTTTGTCCCTCTTGCCTTCAATCTGTCCTGTGAGTATCAGATTTTCCAAGCCCTCTTTCCTCATTATGTGCCCCGGAAATTTCAAATACCTCTTTCTTTTTTGTCTCCATTTCCTCTAAAACTTTGTCGTTGCTCACATGTTGAGTTCATGTTCTCAGCATCCTCCTGTAGAACCGCTTTTCTGCTGCCTAAAGTCTCCTCTTCAGCTGCGAGGAGATTATCCAGCATTCGCAGTCATATAGGAAGACTGATATTACATGACAGTTCAGCAATCTTTTCTCTGTTTCGAACGAGATTTTTCTGTTTCTTCATACTTAGCTTAGCGTTTGGAAGGCATCTTTACGGTTTGATTAATTATAATATATAGATATAGTAGGCTGATGAACGTAATTCGAAAGATAAAAAAACAAGAAAAATAAAGACAGTTTCCTTTCGCGAGGATAAATAAGAAATTAAATCGGACTGGGTGGGGGGAATTTTTTACCCCCGAAATGTTAGATTTCATCAGTAATATAACATATGCGGGAAAAATCACTCCACCAATGTCTAACTTCATTTTGTATTTCTTGTCTCGTTGATAAAAGACACAGTCGTGTCCGAAAATTCCGACTAATATACAATAAATATTATTAATCTGATTATTAATATTATTATTTTTTTTGGTTTTTTTATCTCTCAAATATCTTTCATCAGCCTACTATATATATATATATTTTTTTTTTTAAGCATTGTGCCCCAAGCAAGGCGTGAAGCCACTAGAATGCAGGGGGTTTGGAGCGAGAGCAGATAAGAGTGATAGGAGAAAGGAAGAGGAGAAGGATAGTGGGTAGATCAAGGTAATTGGAGATGTCGATTGACATTACATTTGAATAGTTGGAGATTATAGCTTTCAGGAAACAGTAATTGGGAGGGTGTTCCACTGGCGAGAGGTGTGCGAGGTATGAAGCTATTGGAGTAGAAGAGACGGCTACATTTGAAGGTTTCTACGGTGTAAGGGTGAGAGCGGGATGCCAGCCTCGTAGGGCGCTTGAATTCATGGAGTCTGGGAACCAGAGAGCAGCTCATCAGAGCAGTTACCATGGAAGTATTTGTAGAAAAAGACAGAGAGAGGCGACGGCGCGTCTGTGAGAGAGTGACTGCAAA